ATCGAGTCAACAACGAAACAAGAGAAATAACTTGTAGGCATACAAACAAATTTCTTCAATTTCTTAGTATCTTGATACAGAAACCTCTGTTTTGTTCTCTAATATAATGCATAGCCTATATGAAATATAATTATTTTTTCAGTAATTTTGATTGATATACAACGGCCGCCATTTTATGTACATATGAAAACAGGAAATTCTGTACATGTTCCACATAAACTCCACAGAAGAAAATTCTTTATAATTAATTATACGAAAGTATAGTGTTATTGTATTACTTTATATACGAAATTAATCACAAAGACATTCAGGGAAATATACAAGCTTATGTTTTGACAATAGATTTTAAGTACGATGAGCAAAGTTTAGGCGTTACAATCCACGTGTTACGTCAGTTATGGCAAAAGTAACAGAGAACCAAGCTCTAGTGCATTTATACGAGTCCGTAATGGACAAAGAACACAAAGCATTGAGGTGCCTGAAAGTTTTAATGGCCGTCAGTAAGATTCAAAAGGCATACAAGATTATAAACATATCTGTTACAAATTACAATCATGGCTGCTATCGGTTCGCATATATTTACCTGTATCACCTGTACGCTACTGTTCGAGAACACGTGAAGAGTTTTGGAAGGAACAAACCGGATATTTTAATACAAATGGTAAAGTACACCGGAAATTTGAAGATGTGTTGTTTGGATGGAAAACCCGATTGTGATCTGATCGGATTTTTCATCAGATTAGAACCGAGTGTGAGCACCCTGCTGTGTTTGAGTCACATGGGGTTAAGCTGCATCCTTTTAGAAGTGTGTCCCGGATGGAATAGGTCTCTCAATCACGTGATAAAAGCATGTCTTCAAAGCGAAATAGGGGAAAAATACGCCCCTTTCTTAGCTGCGATTTTGTATAGTCGAACCTGTGCTCCTATTTGAATCGTCGCGATAATCAAAATTTATTTTAATTGTGTCCTATTATTATAGTAACAATTCACACTATCCGCATGTAAATTTGGTGACGTTTTGGGCTATTTTAATTTTAAAAATTTAATAAATTAAAAAAATTTTTTTTCAGGAAATTTTGAAAATGATAAAACCCGGTTCCTTTCTAATTTTTTTTTTTGGATAACAAAACTGGGGGGTTTTTAGAATTAATTTCGAATGCGGCCGAAAGGGATGACTTTGTTCTAGTGTTCAAACACAGCAGCCATTATAGGATGAATAATAATAAACTTATCAAATTTTCAAAACACAGGTATCGTGCTGTGCATTGAAATGCAACAACTGTCATATTTGCTATTTGGAAAAAGAAAGAATTCGGTTTGTGTGTCTGTCTGTAAATTCGTCACCGTTTATTCAGCCGGCAATGTGCATGAGGTATTAATTTGAAATTTTATACAGCTACAGTATGTAAACGGCCTGTTCGAATGAAGGTCGTGTCAAGCTTTTAATTAATTTCGCACTCTCATGATTGATAAATTATTTAAAGAACATCTTATTTCTTTATTAAAAATTAGAAGCGAATTAAAACATGTTTTCTTCATTGCATTAATTTTTAGATATCAGAGTTTTTTTTAAATATAAGCATACATTCCTGTTTGTATCGAAAAAAAGGCAAAAGAAAATGAGGTGTTCAGTATTAAAATATGGCAAAAGAATAAACAACAAATCTAGCAAAATAGGCTTATTTCCGCATAAATAGTCTATATTGAATATAAGGTAAATCAACGCTCAAACATAAAGAACCTTCTCAAAAATTTGGTTAAGTAATTAAGAAAGTGTCATATCCTTCGTGCCTTAGCAGATTCCTGAGATATTGTTGTAGAGATACTGTATAAGGTTTGTATCTTATCCTCTGTGATAATACATCGAAGATCTAAATAAGGAAGAGCAAAGATCGATTAAACACCGAAAAAACTGTTATAGATCGCGTGACTCCATAAAAACTTTAGAAACAGGATACACACCCATTCGAATCTATATTTGTATCAAACACATTGGTTATTCTTAGAAAAATTGTAAATAAAACTTATATCCGGTCATAAAATTAATGGGTAATAAGGTTGTTTTAAGGTTAATATAAGGCATTGTTTCTTTTAGTTTTTTTATATTTAATAAAATTTATTTCCGTCTAAAAATACTCAATAAAAAATTTAAATTCGAAAATTCAAAATACGTCATTGAATATCGTAAAACTGATTGGCCGATTAATTCGGAAATTCAAATTTCAAATTAACCGTCGATTGTGTAATACATTGTTAGAAATATTATTCGGTTACTTTTAAATTATCTGATGTCAGATTAGTCTGATACATTAATTGGATAAACTCTTTTTTTAAAATTTAAATGAGCTCGAGAGGTGGTTTTATATAAATCCCAATTGTTAAATTAGTTATTTCCTGTGGCGTAACCAGGAATCATGTGGCAATAAAATGTCCAGAAAATGGTGTTTGAGCCAGGTTCATTATCTATCAGGATATCAAATCTTGACTTGTGAAGAGTAACGATTATTGGCACGGCAACCCTCTAAATCTCATTATTTGTGTTTCCCAATTTACAGGAAACTGATAACCATCGCAGAAATATCCCCCGGTGTTTCCGTTGATTAAGTATAGAAATACAGTAAAACCTGTCCAAAACGGAACCTGAGTAAAACGGAAACTTGCCTAAATTCTTCGGAAGGAGTATTTTTTATGTTAAAATAAACCTGTTCAAAACGGAACCTGCCAAACCGGAAAAAAACATTCGATACTGTGCGATTCCGGTTTATGCAGGTTTTACCTAATCTTAAAACTTCTGGCTAAAAAAGGTGATCGTTTGACGTAACGTTACGTCAGAAATTTCTGTTTGCACAGATTTCGATTGTCATACATCATCTGTTCTAAAAATGGCACCCGGTGTATCGAATGGTAACTAAGAAGTGTTCGACCGACCCCTGGTATGACTCACAATATCTTCCGAACAAACAGCTGTTGATCCCTAATGTCAGATAGCGACGTCGTTGAAAATCGATCTGCACACCACGTTTCAACTGGTTACAATTGTGCTAACTTGTTACTCTCTCACAATACATCGCACAGTAGTGTCAAAACTATTGTTTTCTGCGTTATCCACTCGAATGCGTGTGTACTTTAGTATCATACCAACTGTTAGTTTGTGAAATAGTAAGGCAAAAACACTGGAAGACGTACAAAACAACAGCCTCTAACACTGCGTGACGTACAAAACAAGTCTCTAACACTGGAAACTTTTAAGGTTCTGTACAGTTGAATTGATAGGCATTCATAATAATGTACTTATAATTACGTATTTTTCTGGTATAATTTATACCTATTGCTACGTTAGAAGCATTAAAGTTAGACAATTTCAAGTGTACATTCTTACTGAAGTAGATTATTGAATTAATATAAAATGTACTGTACAATACTTTATACATTATGATATATTATATAATTTCACAGAGTACAATTGTTTAATGTTATATAATTCAATATTGTACTGTACATTATACAAGAACAATAGACATATGTTCGAACGAAATGTCCCTAAATGTACTGTACAGTACATCGAAAGACACTGAAAATATGATTTGATACTATGCAATTATTCGGACACAGGCACACATACGTATCTGAATAACACGATTTGATACTCAAGCTTAACTCGTACATAAAAGTTATGTACAAGAATTCACACCCCCTGGTGTAAAGCAAGTTCTTTTTATTTATTTTTTTAAATAATAAGAAACACTTTCAGCTAATATTGTCACACGATATCGTCTAACTAATAAGTTTCAAACGGCCATAAGTCAGCTTCAAGGACAAAAAAATTGACAAATAATCCATCTTCCATTAAGTCAGTATGCAATGTAAACATTTTGCAGCCTTATAAAACACTAATTTAGTTTCATTCTTGGGTCGGTCCATTTGTCTGTAAGTATAGTGAATCCGTTATATAAGGATTTTTTTTTATCACATTAACTTAAATAATGCTTAATTTTACGTTCTATATGAGGGATAATGATTAAATTGTCGTGTAAATCATGCTGATAATCGACAGTAAATCACTTAATATAAAATAATAATTTTCACGTCATTGTTAAAATATTATATCAATAAATTGTTATATTTATCAAGCAACTTCCGTTAGGTAACGAATGTCTTGTCGATTGCGAGTTAATAAGCATAACTTATGCTAATTTATGCTAATTATCACTGTTATTTCTTAATATAAATTATCATCTGGAGTAGATGTTAACGTAATTAACTTGGATGATAATTAAGATAACGATTGTCGTTAACGCCAAATTTTCCTGGTTTTCAGGATATTTATTCATTTATGCGCATTATGCTAATTTATGCTAATTATCTTTGACGTAACAGAGTAATTATCTCGTCTTTGGCACGAAAGTAGTAACTGGCACAAGTGGTGATCTACCTACTCTTCCCAGTGTTAAAGTAGATTAGAAGTGGGCCCACAATGACGAATTCATTGTGAGATGATTTGCATAAATATTAAATGAATACATTTTAATTTTAATTAAATATAATTAGACACTATAAATAACTTAAATGTATTCACTTACTTGTGTAGGCCTCACATTTCTACACACGACGTTACGGACAGACATTCTACCCATGACCTAAACGAAAACAACACGGAAAGAACCTTGCACCTGACGTCCTTCCATTAATAAAATGTTATAATTTGTGAAGTTTCTTGTCCGTCTGTTTGTCTGACCGTGTCGAGAGAATTTATAGCCTCGAGTAATGTTAAATTACATTAATTTATTCGGATAATTTCATTTGAAGTAGGTTTATGCACACCTCTATACATATTTAGCGTTATGGACAGACATTATGTACAGTACGATCAGTATTTAAAAAGGTACTGTACTGTACTGTACAGTACGTATGTTTTTAAAATTCACTAACTTCGTGAACTTTTCTGCGTGTCCGTCTGTAGGTCTGCACGTTTGGATTTATCTGTTGATAGAATTTATAGCCTGAAGTAACTTTAAATTGCATTAATTTATGCAGATAATTTCATTAGGCGACCAAGAAAAATGCAGGTACACGAAGGGGGAGGCGAGGGGAGAAGAAATTGGAAGTAAGAGCAGATCGAAGACCCGGAAAACGTTAAACGTGAGCAGCATTTTAATTAGCAGAATATGTTTGGTGTTTTTTTTTTTTAATAGGGACGAGCTATCGATTCACCTGTTTACAATCTATGAAACTTGTTTTATAGGAAGATGGAAATTTGCCAAGTAAATGGAGAAAAGGAAATCGATGTTCTGTAGATGACAAACGTTACAACTAGGTTAAATTCTGTATTGTTTTTTTTTGAACAGGGGCCAACTACTATGTTGAGAGAATTGCAGAAATGCCAGAAAACACAGCGGTATGCAAGCTGATACTAATATGTAGCACGGTGAATGCACGATGATTGAAAGGTAGGAGCTTCTAGAACTGTAGCAGCAGAAGTGCTACGTATTTTGCATGAAAACACATCAACTGCGGTGTTTTTATAACACTAAAGACAAAAGACAAACAACAAGTTTAATATAATTCAATAAACCCAAGACAAATCCCTTAAACATCAAAGTGAAGAAAATTTTATAAAGAATCGTTTTTAAAATTGTAAAATACGGTAAAAACCTGTGTAAGCCGGAATCGAACAGTGCCGAATAGTGTTTCCGTTTTAAATAGGTTTCTTTTTAACGTAGAAAGTACACTGTTTCGAAGAATTTTTCCCGTTTAGGCAGGTTTCCGTTTTATTCAGGTTTCGTTTTAGACAATTTTTACAGTATTCATTTTTTTAAATTATTTAAGTGTTTTATAAGAAAACACAAGAAAACAATCGATTTGAAATAAATAAAAAAAACTTATTGGATAATTCAAAATACGTCACCTAAATTTGAATTTAAAAATAACGGGGAAAAAAATCCGTTGAGGAATTCAAATTACGTCATTATAAAATTTAACAGTTTAATTGGATAATTTCATTTACGTAACGGTAATCGATTAATTGATTCATTTCAAACTTTCCACGTGGTTATAAAAAAGTACTCTATATGCATTTTTTTTACTTCTGTTTCGGTTTCGAATGGCGAAAGTATTTTCCCGTGACTCAAGTGTGTGTTTCGGTTTTGTTTTCGTAGTCTAGTGTTGCTAAAGATGACGTCACAGAAATCGAGGCCAGTCGCTGTGGATGTAAACAGCACATTTTATATGAAGGGCGAAGTTTTCGACGTATATACTAATTTATATGGAAACCATTATTTTTACTTATGTTCAAGCAACAATGAACATGTGAACACTATAAACACACTAAAACATAGATTTTACTGACAACAATTTCCATTATTTTGTCAACATCTTGGTCCTCCACTGTCATCACTCGTTTATTTGTTTCCCTGTTTCCTTTTTAAAAAACGCAGGTGTTTATTTAGACCTGGAAACAATATAGCTCACTAAATTAAAAAAAAAAATCGAAGTGTTAAATATACCAACTGGGAATTTCGTGTGACTCATCGCCAACATGTGTTCACCCTCCCAACTTTGTGATGTCACTACGTAATCTGTTTCCCCCTAAACACAGGTGATGATACTGAAGGCATGTTTATCCTTATCTAATCAGCTGACTGCTGTAAACACCAATGAATTCTGGTATATTAATTGGCTTCCAGCTCAGACCAGTTTGCATGCGAGAGCATTTTCGGTTTCGATTTCGGTTTAAGTTTAAATCTGATAACACAGGAAACTCGTCATCAGTTGGTGTTATATTTGCCCGAGCGTGTGTGTTGCAGCAAATAGAACAGCATGGAGGAAGACATACAGATGTTAGTTCCCGTGTACGAGTCTGTGTTACGCAAGGAGCAACAGAACTTTAACAACGAAGAGATATCGCGTGCCATTAGGGGTATTGTAAAGGCATACAAGAAAATACACAGTAATGCACCGATATCGATTGTGGATTACAATATCGGCACCTATCGATTCGCTTATATATATTTGTACGCTCTGTGCCATACTGCAACCGTTATGAAACACCTGAAAATACTAAAAGAAGAGAGATTCGAGAACTTTCGAGAGATGTTGAAGTTGGGGGAGAGTAGTTTAAACGTGTGCAACTTGGGAGGAGGGCCCGGTTGCGAGGTGGTGGGCATACTGAGCAGAATCGGGGAAAGTGAAGTGCCTGGAAGAGTGAAGTGCGCCATTTTGGATATGTGTCTCGGATGGAAGAAGTCTCTTGTTTATGTTATGAATGCCTTCGTCAAGAGCGATTTAGGGAAATACTACCAATCCAGGTTGAAGTGCAAGTTTCTAGAAGCCGACCTGTGCAATAATTTGAGCTCTTCTGCTGCTACTACAATTGAAGGTGCTGATTTAGTAACAATGGTGAAATTCATATCAGTTGTGTCCTACTATTATCAAGATAATTCGTACTACTTACAGGTGAGTAACTGATTTTTTTTTCATGTATAGGGTGTCTTTAAAAAGGTATACATACTTCAAAACCGATATATAATAAAAACTTTTAGGTTTTTTTAGCAAAACAACTGGCCCGTATGACTAGTGTGTAAATATAACTCATTATATATGCTTAAATTATATCTTTGGGACGTGTGATAGTTTAAAATTGCTCATTATTAGTATACCAAGTATGCATTGTTGATATCCTTCATATCAACGATGCATCCTTTAACAGCTGATATCAAATATTTCCTAAGAAGTGTGCATATAACTCGTGTTGAAGGTCTCGTAATTATCTGTGTATGCATTTTATTGACACCCTAGTTTCAGTTCTGTTATGGGATGGAGTATGCAAATTAATTTCGTTATTATTTTTTAGAGGATTTTCCAGTTAATGAAACCCGGTTCTTATTTATTCTTCCTGGACAATTCTACTGGTGGATTTTTCGAGATGGTTTCGGAAGTAGCAGAAGAAAACCAATTTGTTTTAGTGTTTCAATGTAAAACTTACCATAGACAGAAGCAACAAATGAGGTTTTCCACGTACAAATTCGGTACAAAATCTCTACGATCATCCTCTGTTATATTTGCCGTGTGGAAGAAGAAAGAATCAAGCATGTGTGCGTGCCTTTGATCGTGAAGTGCGAACAATTAGAAGTGAAGCTGAAACAAAAAATGTGCCATATATTTATTATTCGTAGTAGAACATAAATTCAAATAAACCAATTACGACTGCTGTTTTGTATCCACGTGACAAATTCTAATCGATTTCAAACGTCCTCTTTTATTTGTCGGTTAGAAATTTTGTAATTGATCGACTATTTGTCACGTCATCGACTGATTATTCGTCCATACAAGTACTATTGTAAAACGAATACAAATGAATCAACGATTGGTGTTGTTTGTATCCACGTGACAAAGTTTAATCAATTATGCGTTTTTATTTGTCCGTTAGAAATTTTGTAATCGATTACTCCTTGTCACGTGACTGGGATATCATTGTATAATGCTCATTTATACATTTTTACTAATAAAATATATTGTTTTTGATAAAATAAATAGCGTTGTTATTGAAGAAAGTCGACCAAAAACGCTACGAAAATTTAAATTTACAATACACAAGCGGTGTTTAAATTTAATGTGTTACGTATACTCTTACAAAGTGCAAGTTTAAAGTGCAACTATTGTAAACTTGAGTCATTTCACATGCTCGTTTTTCGACGCGTGTGACTAGAAACCATAAACGCTCACGAGAAGGGACAGTTTCGGTTTCGTTTTCGATTATGTACAGGAAGTGATGTGGAGCGACGATTCACAAGCCTACGTCACTCGCGTTTTGTCCTGTTAGCCAATAAGTGTTTGCGATAATTATTTGCGAATATCAGTAATAAAGAGCTGCCCGATTCTGATCTGGTTTACAAGTGAGACACAACGACGCAAAACACTTATATAAAACAGACATCATAACGTGTATCGCCAACAATGAGTGCCTTGATGACAGTGGGAATGTACTTGAATGCCGTAGAAGAATCGGAACACATTTTCGCAACGTTCGAACGTGCCCTGCATAAAGAGATATCGCAAGCGAGTCTGGGGGTGGAGGACATTAATCATGCCATCCGACAGTTGCAGAGTGCCTACAGGAGGATATCCCCTAACAGACAAATAAGCAGCATCAACTACGACTGTGCATCCTATCGTGCTGCCTATCTATACTTGTACGCGGGGTGCCACGCCGCAGCAGTCTACTCCGAGCTGACATGCCTGATGTACAAATACCCTACAGAATTCACTAAACTGATGCGTTACGAAATGCCCGATCTGCACATCTGCAGTTTGGGCGGAGGACCCGGTTGCGATGTTTTGGGATTGCTTCACTGTAGACGAATCAACAGTAAGATGAACGTCACCAGGTCCATTAGGTGCACCGTTGTAGATTTGTGTATGGGTTGGGGTGTGGCTCTACAGCACGTGCAGGAAGCCTACACGGCTGGCTTAGGAAGCTTTCGAGAGATGGTAAAGTTCGATTTTCGTCAGGTCAACCTTTGCACCGGCTCGCCACAACTGCACGAAATTTCCACAGCAAACATCGTGTCCCTTGTTAAATATGTGTCGGTGGTGTCCTACTACTATACAAAATCCCCCAGTTTGTTGGAGGTAAGTCGTAATTTTTTTTATAATACCATTACGCACTTCGTAACCGAATTCGCCCCACACCTTAAAATTTCAAATGGTTAGGACCATAATACATATTTGTTTCCCTGCGATATGATAGAGGCCAGTCTATATTGCATTTTGTCACGAGAGCATAAATCGATTTCGACCTTGATACCCGTACACCACGGGAATGAAGCGTCTAAAACAACCCAAGTGTCGTGTTTAAACAATGACATTTGGACCCTAAACGTCTGCATACTCTCGTATGCAACACGACGCTGCTATTCAGGTTGTAATGATTGACATTTCGGAGTGGCAATCGAGATAAGGGGGCAAAGGTGTGACAAGTGTTATCTTTTCTTTTTTATTCTAGACAATCTTCTGGCGAATGAAACCTGGATCTTACGTCTTCTTCTTAGATAATTCTGCGGGTGGATTTTACGAAATGACCAGCAGAGCGGCTGCAAGAGCGGGTCTGCTGCTAGTGGCTCAGCCCATTTTTCATCGATGGAACTTTCCATCTAAGTACGAGTTCAATTCCAAATACGTCAGCCGTTCGCTTAGAACCACATCCGTTATCTGTGCCATATGGATAAAGAGCGGGGCGGAGCCACTGCTACGTTTGCCAACCATTTATGCAATATAACAAAAAAAGGATTGCACTAGTTTTAAATGCTCGTTTCACATTCCATTCACTGTCAAAATTATCTGGAAGTCTTCAAACCTGGAAGTTTCAGAGCAATAACTCCGCCCAAATAAAGGTTCTAGATTCCTCCAATTAACTTACATTGCTCGAGCATGTTGTAAATCTCCCCTACGCCTTTTTTTATGTTACCAATGTCAAACGATTGAGTTTTTTTGTAGCAAAACAATCGCTTCTAGTGTACTTTAATTGTTTTAACACAATCATAGAACGCCCAATTTAACCTTAGTTCTTCTCGTAAACTTAGTTTCATTAAAGCAGCAACGCATTGGCTACTATTACTATGTCATTTTAATAAATATTAAATAGTTGGGCGGAGTTTAAATATCAACAATAGACTCACTCTATTACGCTAACAGAGAGGAGTTAGCATATAAATTTAAGTGGTACGGATTATGTAAATTCAGTGGGAGGATCCGAGGGACGTCCAGAAAAATCGATACATCACAGAACAGTTTGCGTTATAACCTTCGACTCCGCCCAATTTACAAGGTTTCGCAGCAGGAAACTTCCAGATTTGAATTCGATTAGTGGACAGTGCCTTAGAACAGCGCGAGATTTTCAAATGGTATCATCGACACCAGTCTGTAACTCCGCCCAATCATTATTTGAATTACGTTACACCTGTATTAACGATCAATAAAAAGAAATCACGTGTTTCCTTTTGTATAAAAACTGTTTATTTACAATCATCTGTACATATTAAAGGAGGGAGATTATACGGAGCGAAACTATTTTTGGACCGCCCCGAATTAGTGTCAAAAAAGAAAAACAATGCGTGTCCAAAAAATTCTCTATTATTATTTTCTCTTTACTCTTTTAACAATTAACCTGCAGAATTACATCTTAATAAATTACAATGTTCATATACACAACATTATGTGCTCTAAACATGGCTAGAAATTTTGTTTCTTTGTAGTAAAGGGGGAAACTACGACTGACTATATATATGTATATATATAGACTTTATACCAGATTTACATCTGGAAGGGGGCCCCTTGATTAGGAGGGCACCGGCACGTAGGGCCCCACTAATTAAGTTATTACAATTTCTGGCCGGAGAGGGCGCTCTATACGCGACACCTGGCCCCCTACCTTTTGTTTTCGTTCTGGTATTACGAAATAACCATTCTATATCTAAAAATATCTATATATATAATATATATTTATATATATAATTTTTTTCCTTTGGTAAACTAGGAAAACTCGAGGATAGTTTTCATTTTTAAGTGTTCAAAAAGACACGACGACAGTATAAAAAATGACATTATATCAAATTTTCTTTTTTTTGCATTATTTAGATATAGAAAATTCTACATGAAATTCCTTTGCCTATTCAATAAAGGTGCAACAATTGTATCGCTTGTAAAAAAAACAAAGAAAAACGAGTTTATAGAAAAGAAAAAAAACAGAACTGGAAAGGGGAACAAGTCACTCTTGGAACGTGTTTACAACCGAAAAAAAAAATGGGAGAGAGAGAGAGAGAATGAAAAGTGCATCATATCACAATGGCGTGTGGCACACAATCAGACGGGGCAACCACGTCACGAATTTCATTTCGACACCAGGAATTGGGCCGTAAATATACATTCACGTGTTACAGGAGAATAAAATGATGATAACAATTCGGGCACGTGTAATACCCCCAACCAATGCTGTGTAGTATTGGTAAAAACCGTGTAAAAAGTATTAGCACCACGTACCTACATCACAACACCTGTGTGAATATTTAACTCTTCACGAATTAGAAAAGATGGATGTAGTTTTGCGTTAATTTGCTAAATGTACACTGTACAAAAGTAGTGTTGTTGTTGTTGTTTTTTACAGTGTGGACTCTAATCCGGAACTGATCAGGTCCTCTGCCTGCAGACGACTGCTTCCGTCCAGACTAGTGGAGTCACTATCGTTGCTATGCGGGCTAGAATAGCTGGCAGCCTCCTGAAGGCGCATTAGCATGTTCAACTGTAATATCAGTTAAATTTTTATGTAACGCACCCCCTACAGCGTGACTAAAATTGATACGAGGAGGAATACTCACCAGTGGATCGGCATCCACATCGGTAACGGGAGGGATGACGCTTTTGGTGGGGCCGGGATGACCTTCATAGCCTACATCTTCCGGTCTCAAGCACAAAAGCTGAGAACTATCACCGTCTAACGTTATGGGCCATGGGTAAGTTTGTTTGGCCCATTCGGCGGGGTCTTCCCACGGTGCTCTGCGCCCGTACAGCTAAGGAGAAGAGGAGGAAAGCGTTAGAATACCCAGTTTGTAATCTTGTAGTGTTTTAAGTGTAAGGGGCTCACCTGCAACCCTTCTCGAACCGCCTCGAGCAGGTAGGGAATTATGCTGTAGTTCCAGAGATCTGTGAACCACACCTGAGAGTTAGCGACGTCAATGGGGCACGACAGGAACAGTCGGGGTCCTGAGAGGAAAATGATTCTCAGCGGGTTGCCAAGGAGTAGAAAGTAGTAGAGTAAACGTACTCACCAATAGTTACGTCGGAAGAGCTGTGTGTCTCTAGAAATTTATTCAAATGTTGCCACACTTTGGGCATCCAGTCGATGATTCTCGTCAAATCCGAATTGCGCGTCCCGTTTTGCACTTCGTATTCTATTAGTTTCCTTTTCAAGTATCTCCCCAAGAAGCCTTTAACCGGTTCCATATGATTAGCACAAAGCACCCACCTGTGGAGGGCATTAAAAACAAAGTCATTCAGGATTCCCCCTACGACTTCTCTTAAAATAAACCTTTTAAACCGATACCCACCTGAAATTGTGGTGCAGTTGTAGGTTAGTTGTAGAACACGTGGCTTGATTCATTGTTCCTATGATGTACGGGCTGTAAAGTGAAAGTAGAAACTAATTATCAAGAGACTGGGAGTTAAAGGCAATTGTTATAATGGAATGGCACCAACCATTTTTGGTACTTGGCACTAAGGAATCCGTTAAAAACTTCTCCCAGCGATCCCACGTGATGTAAATTATCCAGAATGATCACAGAAGGGAGATCTGACGCATCACTAGGGCAAGGAAACGTAGTCGTTAGTCTCACGTAACAGGAAGATGGATCGATATGCGTGCAACTCACCTGTTCTCGCATTGTTCCGCCACGTTCGACAAGTACTGACGCAGCTCTTTAGCCGATTTGTGGTCCACATTGAATGTTGCCACCGAACCCGACGTTAATTCTTTGCCGTTTCTGTGTGTTAAGGTGTATTTCTTTTTTCATAAATTATACACCATAGATAAGCATTTTGCGTAGAATAAAATGAAATACACTTACCTTAACACTAGAAACTCTGCTAGTTTTTGCGCTAGGTATGTCTTCCCCGTCCCACTGGGTCCACACAAAATGATCCTTCTGTGTTCGGTCAATAAAGAAATGTAGCGCTGCACGATCGATTTGGGGATGAGAGTCTCGAAAGCCACAGCATCGACCGAATTGTGTTTAATGCCTGAAGGTAAGGGGAAAGAGAGAGAATAGAAAAGAAACCTTGCATGAATAAACCAGTTTAAGGGGGAAGGTATTATTCGAAAGTCACGTGATCGTGACTGCAGAGGGGCGCGAAACGAATGAGAAACCACACCGTATAATCAGCGATGCCCCGAGTGATTTATCGCTCATAAATTGAACTTACCTTTCAGGATTATTTTTATTTCTGTGTTTTCTCCGACAAGATAACCGTATGGCAGCAATTCAGGTAATTCGGCTTCTGCGGAGGGTGGAAAAAAGTCATTCAGAAAGTCACTCTGCGAATAAAGATGCAAAAGAGCAACACGAGTTTTATTACCTTTCGATCTGCAAACGTCTCCTATGCTGTAACTTAACACACTTTCTGCATTCAATCCCAGATTGGATACGGGATCGATGCGAAGTACGTGTTCCTGTGTGAAATAAATAAATAAATAAATAAATAAATAAACAGATCTGTGCGTGAAACAAAACAAAAAATCGTCTCGTAAATGGTAATTAAAAGAGTTATATCGATTAGATCCCTTCCTCTTGTGTAGAGGGGTGAAAACAGGAAGCGTCAGCCATAAAAATTACTTCATACCAGAAGTAAAAAACGACGTCATAAAAGTATCGAAAACGTGCAACACAGTTCATGAGTTACAGAAAAGATTTTTACGGTAGCCTCAATAATTATCTTTTATCGTTGATACAACCTGTTCAAAAACACAACTTTGTGGTGTGTTTGTGTGTATGTATGCATATAAATTTGGTGTGTTACTCACCTTGAATAGTTTCTTCACCACGTTGTCTAGCAGGTCCCATTTTGTCTTTCCACCCACCGATAAAGTACCTATATGGACTTTCTATTGCAATAGAAAGAAAAAAACACGTTTAAACACACGAAAAACTTTCAGAATCACGCGCAAAACACTACTCACCTGAGTGCAATTGTTCAATTTAGTTATGTCACTCCGACAGCAAAGATAAACCGATACGGGAACACGTTTACCATCTTGATCGTTTATACTTTCGCTCAAATATATATCTGAAAAATGTAAATTTTACTGTAAAAAACTGCATTTTTTAATGATGTAAACAAGAAGAAGAGACTTGAAAGATAAACCTCCCACACCCCATTTAAGTATTGCTGCACCCATTTTAATAGTTTCAACACTTAGATCATTTATGAAAATTGCTGGACCGTGTGGGATCGGAAGATAACTCAAAATTACAGTTTTTTTTGTTACTAGACGAGTTTCCAGAAATTTCCTTGATGTTTACGTGTTCTTGTCTCCTCTATTAAACTATTATTTATTCTTTTTTACTTCTAACATCTATTGTTTTTCTTTTGTGTGCCGTTTCCGCATTTCTACAATTTCTGTTCAAGCACGCATTAAACGAAATTCTTAAAAACTGTATGGTTTTTTTTGATGATTGAAGACTAAATACATTTAAAATTTGTGTTTTAGACTGAATTCCTTCTCAAAATTACTCACTTTTTAGGTCATCTGACGTCTTTACCTCCTCCAAACTCAATGTTTTATCCAGTTTTTATGTATGTACTGTACACCTAACAAGATTTCCTGATTACACAAGTTTACCTATCTACTTAATGGTGTCTTTCTTTTGTTTGTATACACTCTACTTTCTTTCTGTACTACTTTTAACTTTTTAAATATATTTCTTATCCCTGCTAATTAAAGTTTAAAGTCCAGCAATTTGTAGAATTTATATAAATTCGTCTTTACATCGTTTACAGAATAGGTTAATTGAGTCTCCTCTGTGTTAACAGTAACACTTCTTATCCTATCTCTCTTCTCCCTGCTACTAGTGTAACGTATTTTTCCGTCCTTGAGAGGTCCAGAAATAGTAAATTCGGTATCATTTGATTAATTTTGATTTATGATTCGTGTCGTGATCTATCAGAAATTGGAATAAACGATGATTCATAAATTTACAATACAATGAACTTGTCCCATCTGTTCGTTCTCGTGGGGTGTGCCAAGTGTTCTTTTTTACAGAAAATAAGCTGTAGATTGTGGTTAATTTATTAATTTCTACATTTATCTCAGTGGATTTAATGAAAAAACACTTGAAGATGCAACAGATGAGAGCTTCCAGGATAATACTAATGTGTTTATTTACCATGAGATCTGTGTCAAGAGTGATGAACCATTAAATCATTAATCCAGAAATGCATTACGTTGCTGACAATTGACAAATGACTGTAACTTCATCTAAGTTGGTGTCGTGTGTCTAACCTATATGTCACACCAAAAAAAAAAAAAAAAAACTCGTTGCTAATGTGCAGGATTTGAAACACTTGTTTATGTCCATGTTATATCAAAATTGAGAGCTTAATTTAATGGAAATGTCACTTTATCTTCCCATAGATGCTTCTAAAATTTCCTGTACTAACTTTAACACTGATACATATGAAGTTTTGGTGCTTACTTCCCTGTCGTAGGAGGACTGATTTATGTTTATTTTAACTGTTTTTTTTGCTCCCCAACAGATGTGCTAACGTGTTGTTTACCATACTTAACTTGTGTAGACGGACTATGCTACCTATCAAATATGCAAACGTGTTGTTTATTATACTTAACTTGCATAGACAGACTAACATGTGCTTTCTAAGAGATGTTCTAACGTATTGTTTACTATAGTTAACTTGTTTAGACGGACAAGCATGTAATTTAAATACAATAAACAAGTGATTAAAACGTGCAAATTTTAGCATTAAATCTCCACTAAAACTCGAAAGATTTTGTGTAAAGGTAAACAGAACTTTATGAAACAATCTACACCACATAAAATGGAAATTTACTTATAAATTTTAGAAACGAGCCCTTTAATTTGTCACGCGGCCACAAAGTTTAATAATAATTATTTAAAGTATAATACATACCTATACTAGAAGGACCAGAGAAATCCGAAGCACTTAATCTTTTATCTAAACTGTCTAGACTGTTTCTTAAGGGTAGGGAACTTTGGGATGAATTAAGAGATTTATTAGAGACTAGTTTCTGTAATCTGTCGTTATCCTGTTTCAGGTTCATCATCTCCACCTAAGAAACAAAAAAGGGGGAAATTTAAGTGTTTGCGAAAGATTAGACAATAAATTCTGCTTAGGAGGAACAATAATCATTTTTATGTTAGAGATAAAACCGTTTCTCCTCCCTTCTCTGGACGAAGTGTTTATCCAGAGTAATGTAAGATATAGAATCAAACTCACTCTCATTTTATTTACAGTCTCCTTTAGGTTTTCCAGTTGATGAACCGAAGTTAGTGCTTCCAAGCGTATATCTGTCAACACAAGATCCTTCTCCCTCAACTGTTTCTTTAACTCTTTAACTATTTCTGGTACTGATTCGTCGTCCTTGTCGTATATCCTAACACAAGAAAGGTAGAAATTTTAAGTCTGCCCTACATGTGTTAAATATGATGTTTTCTATCATCTTACGCCGAAGAAGAATGGGATGACTTCATCCCCTGTCCGTTACAGTTGCCATTAATATGGTGAGACCCGAGTAGGGGTGAATTAGGCGTGGAGGAATCGGACTGGAAGTTGTGTATGTCTTCCACGTCGGAAACAGAACCATTCTTGTTCTTTTTACTCCTGGTGAATGCCTTGCTGAATGAGCTCCTCAGCTGTAATGGAACATTATATACATTAACGTCACCCCTGACACTGAGGCCCATAAATTGCGGCATTGTGGACGATTACGTTAAGACAAGCATGAAAAACCCTTAAAGGGGTATACCTACCCAACCTTTCTTCTTCTTTTTCTTGTTTTCTTCTATCTCATTTTTAGCAGAATTATTGCTAGCTGCGCTGCAAGCACTGGATGCTGAATTAACACTCGACATGGAATCTGTGGACAGCTGTCTCGATATTCGTTGTTCTTGCAAAGCTGTGGGTAGGGTATACGTTCAGAAAATTAAACTATTGCCTAAAAATTACAATAAATAAACGCCTGTGTTGTGTGTTAGTTCGTGTTATAGGAGACTAAGTTTAAGAAGGAGTAGGTTCTTCTAGAGACTAGAGCTTGTAAGAAAGGTACAAAGGTGTGAGAATGTGTCAGGATTTTTGTTAGTCTCACCAGTGTCTTTAGTAGTGTTAAAAGTATGACGGCGTGCTAAATTAGGAGGAACACCCATACTTCTTTGTACAGCTTGCATGGACTGGAGTGCTACTTTAGTCAGGCCGGCTTCAGCACTTTGTTGCTTCAAGGCTTCTATGGTGTTTCTTAATTCATTCAGCTCCGAATCCTAGAAAATGTGCAAATCGAAATTAATATATGCAAATTACGCCGGTAAATAATTAATATACGTAACAGTAATTTGAATATCTGCATGTGTATTTGTGTGTTATTACGTTTTAATTATTTAAGAACTCCTTTGTAGGTTACACACTTGTCTAGTGAATTATTTTGGATAAGTTAGTAAATTTAGCAGTTAAATTAGGGGGAAAAGATGTAAAATACATGAGGTATAACAATACAAAAATGCATTGTAAGCATATTCTTTACTCATCCCACCGGAAAGAATCGATAATAATGCAAATTAGTTGCAAAAAATCATATAAATTCCCATCATTTACATTAAAATAAGCATAAATTACATAGATTTAAGAGATATTTATTTATTTTTACGTGCTATAAAGTAAAATAATCCCTGTTTTATGCGTTTATTCTCACATGTGGCCGCTTTAAAGAAGGGAGTAGCAACGTTACATGAGTGACTTGGAGCGTGTTTTGTTAGACTACCCTTTGAATTTTTGTTTGTCATCCACACTCACGTCTCAACGTCATTGTATTTCATATCTTCTACTTGCTGTATCTAATTACTGAAGTTAAAAGTAGTCTTTTCTATGTTGTAGAAGCGCCATTTTAAAAGTTTTCGTGTGTAATCGAAGTTAGTCGCTGGCGATTGCCACACGCCATGCGATGATTACGTCAAAGATGACAAAATTTAATCGTTTAGCCAATAATACTTCGACATATGCGTCACCGTGACGCAAGCAGCACATCATTTTTCTGATTTGTGTTCAGTGTGAACCGGTTTTTTTAGTGGCAATCGGTGAAAAAAAATCTTGCCATTTAAGTGTATAGAATTATACAGTAAAGTCTTGCATTTTATGCACTACCTAGCGCACAAATATGCTAAATATTCTAAATTTTGACCTGCAAAATTTACAATTTTTATATATTTTCATTGGATTGTAACAAATATGGAGTCTAAATCAAGATAATAAACGCCATTAGCATATCAGATGACTCACTAATACGTCTGTTTGTCTGTTCTTGAAAGGTAACATGATATGCTTAAATTACAAGATTAAAATACAGTAAAAGCCAGAAAGAACCTAACTAAAGAAATGCTAAATTCAGCAGAATTTATACTTTTTTGCTGAGTGTTTATTTACATTTACTTATATAATGATACTGCATATTTCTACGAGTTATTTGAATTCTAACGAACCGACACACGTACTCGCAAATACAGTAAGCATATTTTATATAAAAATATTGATTCAGTTAGTGATTCGAACATAATTTAACCCTGAAAGCAATGTAAAACGAAAGAATTATAATGGGAAATATTGCATTTTTCTTTAATTTTTGCTTATAAAATACAATTTAAAGCGATTCGGAGTGACGAGGAGGGATCAAATCATATATTTTGTGAGGAATTAAAGCAATTTATCAATAAGAAGTGAGTGAATGCGAGTAAATATTAAAGGGTTCAATTTAGTGAAGAGTTACAGACACTAAACACTTATACCAATTGACACTGTTAGATAACAACCAGTTACATCACTAAATTACCGGTAAAAAAAAGGCAGCAGATGGTAAGTTTTATGTGTCTAGATAGAAATAACAGAGAAGGAATGGGATTTCTGATTTATTTCTGCGAAAAATCGTCGTATCTAACGATCGATTCCTAATTATCCACTCGCAATTTTGTGCTCTACCAGCTAAAATTCTGCAAAGGTTAAGTACTCGAGTGATTAATCTTGGACAGAGTAAACACAGCAATGACATTTGAAACCGATAGATCAACGTTTCGTAACTAAAACGCGAGTTGTTAGCTGTTTCCCCCGTTCTACCCTCGTAAAAGTGAGGAAAATCAAGTAAAATGTTCACTTTTTTCTTTTTTTTTAGATATAAAAGACAATGATCAAACCTTCTGTTCCGCACTGGCTGTTAAGTGTTGCAGTCTGCTGGTCATATTGGATAGACTCTGTTCGAATGCAGCAACCATGTGTGCCTGCAAGATAATAACAGATTAATTTTTAAATTTCAAATTTAATTAATTTTTTTCATATAAAATAAAATAATTATCTGTGTCTTTGTCGATGTAGATAGGAAAAGAATGAAAGAGAAGTAAAGTAATCATTTCAAGAAACTGATATGATTGATAGAGCTGCAACCCCCTTGTTGTTTACATCAATTAGTATCGCTCGAACTGTGATAGCGTTATCTAAACAATTTTTGCTGCCTTCTTGCACAACCGCAGCAAGTCTTGCAAGTGAATGTTACACTTGATAGAAAAAATATACAATAATTGATATATTTGTTGTATATTTAAGCTCTATATAGAGATATTTAGTGCATTATAACGCGGTTATACGCTTGTCTAGACTGATTTCTTTTTAATTTCTTAACAGGTTAAAAATTTTTAAAAATTGTGAATTTTTCTATCGATAATTTAAATTTTTGTACGCTTAAGAAAGGCTGTATTTTACGTAGTGTAATAGTGACAGTGCCGTCTATTGCTTCGAAGCGGGATACAGAAAATACAGTGAACACCTTCAAAACCGGAGCTACAGGAAATGCAATAATAACCCTCAAAAATGGGCTACAGAATATGCACTGAACATCCCCAAAAAGACTGCAGAAAACGCAATAAACACACTCAAAATACAAGCTAGAAAAATAGCAACAATAAACAAGAAAATAGTAGATTTTTTCACACAAATGCAAATTTGACATTCCAAACTTTATTGTTTCAATTCCGAATACTGATTTATACACACTATCAAATTAAAAACAAAAAAATCACCTGAAGAAGAGTCAATTTACAGGGCATTATACCAACATATTTAGAAAAATTCTTACAGGAATACCACAAATACTAGAATTACATAAATTATATTTACTTCGGCCTGTCATTAGTAATATTTAAAAAAAACAGTCGGGATGACTAATCATTATAAATAACAGCCAGTAATACTGTATAATAATAATCATTATACAATTGTTACCCCTGTAGAAAACCTAGTTGACCTTGTAAAGATATAAGTTAACAATTTTTATTATGGAAGTATCGAGTTGGTTAAAACCTCTTAACAGTACACAGAGGTAGATAAATTTCCAAATTTCTGAAGGAAATTTGCTCTGTAACGAGGTGTACGAAAGCAAAACACGGTAAGAGGAAGGTGAAAGAAGCCATGAAGTAGCGCAAAAAACTACACCTCTAGACTATTGCATGGATGATACTAACTGCATAGCTCCAATCCAACCTGTTATTTTGACTCTAATCTGGTTGCAACCTGTAATTTGGCTCCAGGTAGCGAATGTGCTCTACTAGCATTTTACGCATCACACTACGAAAAAAAAAAATAAAAAAAAAACAATTTCTGAAACAATGACAACGTGTAAAATGTAGTTAGTAAGTACTTTATAAATTGCAATTTTGGATGCTTCAAAATTTGCCTGCAAAGAATGCCCATCAAAATCTTCCTCCTGAAGTACACGTGACAAAAGATAAAATTCCTGCAACAAGAATCGTGTTGTTAATCCTAGATTCTACGTGTGTAGCGAGATGGAATTTGCATGTAAAGATGTAATCTTCCATGCTTATTATCCGCTACTGTGCAATATAATAAAAAGGAGCCATCGTAAATTAAATTCTTCTTTTTTTATTTTTTCCTTTGATGATTTCAACAAACGAGGGACTCTTTCACTTTTATAAACCATTTAGATGCCAACTAAATGCACTCCTTTCTTTATAACATTATTGTGCAACCTGTTTTTTTTCTCTGCACGTGATGAGTCACTTGCCTCGCAAGAAAAATATTCCCACAGGCAAGTTCCTCGAACAGCTCCTGTACAGGGGTGTACAGTATAAACGAGTTAAGAATTAAGTTTCGTGGGGGTTAAAGAAAAACAAAAAAAAAGCTAAGTTACAGTAGCATTTTTTTGGCTCTTTTTGCCTGTCCCTGCACGTTTCACACCCTCACACATACACACACCAGAAACTTACCATATAGGTCATGGACGATTTATATTACCGAATAAACAAACATTCCCCCCTCCGGCTTTAGTATAATTAAATTAAACGAAGTTAAATCGACGTACATTAAGTTTATTCTTGGCGAGTTTTTGTGTAAAGTCCTTTCTTATTGCGCGTGTAACTGCTGAGGGAGTTGTAAATACAGTACTTTCAGACGGTGACGTCATGGCGTGTATGGGTGCGTCACGTGACGAATCGCATGGCTGATTCAAGACAGAGCATCGGGTGTCTATTTGTGGCGCGGGGCATGCACCAGATGGCTATTCCCTATCGAGTATGTTGACAAATACTAGAAGCAGCTCCACGCTCTTTTTTCCCTACCCCCTCTACTTGGTGGGGTAAAAAATAGTAATGACGCCGGGATGTGGAGTAATTATTGCAGTGACAAAACTTCGGACAGCTTTCATCTCCTCGCAATATCCGTATTTACTTTTAATCATTCTCGAGGACCGTCCGTGAGTGATTAAAATACAAAGATCTTTATATAATAAACCCATAGGGAATTTTCCCCATAACAAACAGGAACTTTCGTGTTCAGGGATGTTTTGGTTGAGAAAATAGGGAATTTTTCCCGACAGGATTTCATGGTTATTTTTCACTGAAACGAATTTTTCGTCCAGCTTTCCTTTTCTCTATTTCGTCCAGAGAAATCCCTATTTGCCTATCCCGAAAATTCCCTATCCATAAAATTACGAAAATTCCCTATCTCGAAAAATCTTTAAAATGACACTTTTAGGCTCATAATACTCATAAAATATAAACTACAAAAATATCCCTATTTTCCCCATAGCGATATTTTTATCCCTAAATATTTTATCAGTATATTTCGCAAATTCACTCGATTTACACACCATAAACTGAAATATCCATTTAATTTTACTTTCAATAAATAGCAAACTTTAACATTCAAATAATCTTATACCATTCTCTTCTATAAAAACCTTATTCGTACACGAAAACATCTAAAAACATTACAAAAAAAACTAAAAATATTCTTAGAAATTTCTTTTAATGATCAAATAAAACAGTTAAGTAATTAAAACTCAATTATTTTCTCTCTTTTGCCAAGACTTAGGAAGATGTTACGAAATAACTTTTAATAATCCAATTAGGGAACAAAAAAAGAGAGAATAATAGAAAGAACAATCGGGAAATTTCCCCTACTGTTAGCTCTTTCAATTAAGGAAATAGGTTTTGGATATTAAATTATCCTCTTACAACATCTCCAAAGGTTAAGTGCTACTACCAACATTTAGCATAACCCTCAGAGGGTAGAAAAAAATTTCCCTACCCCGAGTTATTGTTTGTTCCTTTTATAAGTTAACATATTTATTCTAGAGAGCTGCATATTTCCGGCATGGTTATTTTCAAGGGGGGAAGAAAACTTGGCACCATTTCAAGGTGGTGCACCGTGGAGTGTGTTATTAAACGGACCTCCTACAGAAATTTTGACACTTATCATATTACTGAGTGTCATAAATACAACATAGAATGGCTCCACGCTTACCAGAGCAACTTGTATTTCTTCCCCCTCCTTCGTTAAAGAGGATGACGATATTCTCTCTCTCTCTCTTTATAATAGATACTCTACTTATTTATATATGTAATTGTAAGAGCAACAAGTCTTATTTAATGTCATTAAAAAATTTTTAAGCAAAGTTATTGCTTGTAGGAGCATAGGGAATTTACTTAAAATATCCCTACAAACAAAATAATTTTTCTGTAGTTATAAACCATGCATTTTACTTCAATTTCCGAAAGTTCCCTACCGATAAATTTAATTAGTAGAAAGGGAAATTTCCCTACGCGAAAGTACATAATACAGATTTTCTAATTTCCCTAAAAAGTAGGAAAATTTCCAACTAATACGTTCAATCAGCAAGTAGGAAAATTTCCCTTTCTACTAATTAAATTTATTTACTAATAGGGAAATTTCCCGTCAATAAATAAATTTAGTCAGCAAACAGAATAATTTCTCACTCGTGTGAAATTAAAAATGAAGTGAATTTCGTAGAAGCGTTATTTTCTAAATTTCCCCAAAATAAATTGAATTAAGTGGCAGCAAAAATCACCCGTTTAAAAATTACTTTCTGTATTATTCTATAGCCTTTACATTCCTACATTAACAGAATAATTGAGGCTAATTCCCTATTACATGCAAAAAGTTTCTCGGTGGGCAAAATTGCTGTGACAATATCCCTTTTTCTGATGAAAAAGCAAGGTTTTTTTTTGTAAATTAAAAAATTACCCATTAAAATAGGATACCGTTTTAATGAGTCGATTCAAAAATTTTAACGGGTAAATTCAAAAATATTCCTCCTAATGGGTATGTTCAAGAATATCCCTTTTTAATGGGTAAATGGAAGAACATTCCTGCTAATGAGTATATTCAGGTATATCCCTTTTAACGGGTAAATTCAGGAATATCCCTTTTAGCTGTGTAGATTCAGGAATATTTTTTATGAGTGACTTCATAAATGCCAGATTTTACGGTTGAATCCACACCTACGAATGTACCCACAAAAAGGTCAAGATTTTATTTTAAAAAAAAACTAAAACATAAAGAAAAGGGGAACTGATCCGGAATCATTAAAAAAAAAACAAATTAAATAATTAAGCAGACCAAGTGAACTATTTATAGTTACGAAAAAGTTTAATGTTGGAATTTGCTGTTGTCATAACCTTGCAAGTTCATCGTCCTTTCGACCAGAGAGTAACGGTATGTGGTCTGCCATCCGACGAATAATATTTAGAAAAATTAGTTGATTGGAGCAGCAGAAAACCCCTTGACGCTGGCCAAACACAAGACTGCAACCATCAAGGGGGGGGGGAAGAACATCTGGAAGAACTTAATTATTAAATTAACGTCTTAGCTCGTAATCTTGCAAATGTTAATACTTAATGAGCTTCTCCCTCTGGATTTCAAATTCCTCAGAGAGCACGAGTGGGGTATAATTTTAAAGAAATTAAATACTTCGCCGTAAACAAATTAATAATCTAGGGAATTGGGCAATAAGTATATGTTTTAAAGTATTTATTTACAGTTTTTTAAATTCTTAGGAATGGCTCCAGAAATTCTCTGAAGTTAAATAAAGTTTAGCTTTGCTTCTGATTTGGGGATTATTCCGGTACACTTTGAGGAAAAGTTGGGGAAATTTTTGAGCCTCGGAATATTCGTCTATAGTATAAAAAGGGTAAAGACTTTTTTTTGACTTTTAAAAATATCGTAAGTCATCCGAAAAAATTTTACGAAATTTTCCCTGCTTCTTTATAAAAAGAGGGAAAAATCCTTTTTAAGGGAAAGTAGGGAATTTCTAGTGTCGGAATAATTTGTATGCCATAAAAATGGTTAAAGTTGGATTTTAGGATACAAAAATTTCCAAATTTTATGCAAATGCAGGGAAAATTTCCAATTTTTTCCACATAAAATACTAAGCTATTTTATCGAGTATATTCGAAAATAGCAAATTCCCCAAACTGTAGGAAATATGTTTTTAAATATAGTAAATCCGAGCCAAATTATATTTAAACATTTTAAATTTCAAGAATTTCTTTTTTATTTTTATTTTCGGAAAGATCACAAGTTTGAAGATTTTATTGCCGCCTAATTAACCCTCTATTTAGTGTTCCAAAACTAAATTTAGACAGCTTTAAGTTAACAAGAGCCAATTTAGATATTTTCTTACAATCAGGCAATAAATTACCTAAGTAAAGCCCTCATCGTTAAGGGAAACAGTCGCAAACTTTGAAGCCTTAAATTAGTTCAGGTGGAAGATAAATTTTGTAGGGGCCAAATATTGTCAGAACATTGCCAAATTATTACAATATTTCTACTGTTAATGGTAAGGAGCGGACAGACAAAGTACCACGCTCTTACTGGAGTACTAGAAAGTAAATTCGAGCCATAGAAACCCTATTTATTGCTGCAGGATTAATACAGGAGTGTGTTGCAGACGGCAACATAATTCCCATATCTATTTAAAGCTTCCTCCCTCTGTTATTTTTTTCTTCCACAACCCCTGCAGAGGAAAGACGAGAGAGATAGAGAGAGAGAGAGAGAGCGAGGGAGAGGGGAAAAAATTCGGGACAAATGTACCATCTGCAGTTTCCTAGAAATTAAGAGCGAGATCTATCTGACACGATCAGACATCTACTGTGATGCTTTCCATTCATGAAAGGGAACCAGATTGAAACGGGGGGGTCAATAGGGAAACGTGACCAGGGTCAAGGCGCTCGTGATACGACGTCATGGCGGCCATCTGTCATGGCTGACTGATGCGAGTAGCAGCCAAACATAGTCGCACTCCAGTCGTTGTCCCCTTAAAGGCTATATTTACTTCTTGGAACTGCAACGGGCTTTATTCGAGTGATGGAGAGGGTCCAAAACTCGTCGCCATTGTTCGAGAGGGTGTGCGTGCGTGTGTGTGTATGTCTGTGTGCGAAATTTCACTTCGAGGGTCCTCGCTAAGTTAACTCCTAACCCCGGCCGGGTGGCGAACTTCAAACAAAGGCAAAATTGTAACGGGAAAGAAAGGTTACGAGTTCCTGCACCCATCTTAAAAATTTAATCAGGAAGTCGATCGGGTGGTCTTTTCTTTTTTTCTTCCCGAAGACTGCCTCCTCGTCACGTGACAATCGTTTACACCGACACGACGCGGCGGGTCCAGTTTTCGACCGCGTCCTTGACGGGCTATTGTGCGCGCGTAAGGTCGAAGGCACAATTACTCTCCTAGGGAAAGTGGGGCACAGTCCGATCCGAGGTGGGTACTTTTTGAAAAGAGATAGAAACCCGCCACTCCCCGCAGGTCACGTGACTGGGCTTTATCCGTAGCAGTAGCTACCGAGATGGAAAACAAGCCGTCGACCGGCTTTAAAACTTACTTGGAAAGAAGGGCACGATCGATGACGTAACTTGCGATCGTACCAATTGACGGTGCCGTTGGTCGGACGGAAGTTAACAGACGTTTCCGCTTCCCACAGAGGTTCCATCTGGTGACAACAGTGCAGGTTGACGCGGTAAACACCCCCGTTTCCGCAACAACAGTGGACGGGACTTTTGACCAGAGGTGCCTCACGCTGCACGGGGGGAGTAGGAGGAGGAGGAGAGGAAGGAGGAGGGTGGACGGGTTGGCGGCGCAGGTAAGACCCGTCGCTCTTCTTCCTGTTGAGAGTCTGGCACATTCGCTGTACGGCCACGGCACCCCGACGACGGACGGGTATGCCGCTGCCTTTCGGGCGACACGTGACTTCGGGCACTTGAGGCTTGTCGGGCAGAGGATATCCTCCGTAGAAATCGGGCTGGACGTACCTGCTGGGTGCATCTTCCAGCCTGTCGATGCCATAATACTCGGCTCCCGTTTTCTCGGCCCGGTACAGCACCAACTCCGAACGAGACGACGTCAGCTGGGGGGCGGCCCTTTCCGGGACTTTCTCCTTCTTGCGATGCGGCAACGTGAAGCTGTGCCGCAGGTAAGACATTATCGTCTATCCATTGTCCGCTCCGGGTGACTCATCTCGACCAGGTGACTAAGGCCGAGGAGTGGAGAGCGGCGCCGTAGCCACCATCTTGCCAGTCGTGCCGTCTAGGAATAAACACTCCCGGGCTCAAGCGGTCACGTGGTCCGTGCGCCGCCGCCACCTCGCGTCATCTGGTGTGCGACGCGCGCACTACACCGCGCCGTCCGGTCGGCCGGATCGGGGACGACTGTCGCTCCGGCTCGAACGGCGCGCTACGCCACACGGCGCGCGAAAGAGGCCCACGTGTTCGAGCGGAGGAGTGGGGAGGAGGGCGAGGCGCACTGTAAACAAAACCGTGGAAAAACCGACCGCGACGAGTCAAGGACGTGTAAAGAGACGCTCGGGGAATTAACTAAAAGGTGAAGATGGAGGCAGGAAATAAGCAATTACCGGAACCCCGTACCTAGAGCGTGGCGAAGTAACGGCCGACGGAGCGGATATCCTCCTGCGTCCCCCCCAAAAAAGCAATCTCGGATAAGTAATTAAGGTATATCTGTCCCGTGACCTGTACGCAAAAACCTTTAATTCGATTCACGTGACCGGACGGTGCCGACCGAGCGAATCGCGCCCCCCGACGAACAGGTGCGTGGACGTCGACCTTCGACGCGCAGGCATCGACGCAAGCACGCCGCGTGCTTACTAACAGATAAGACGATGGACCAGACGTTTAATTATGCCGATGCGCGCGCGCGATGCTTCAGTTTGCTTCGGAACCCCACCCTCATGCCTGTGTCGTTTGCCCCCTCTGTGGTTCGTCCCGGGCTGCCACTCGCGTACGGTCGTAATTTGTCATCCGGAAGACACGGGGGTATTGTTGCCGTCGCTAACGTGATGGGAAAGAGGGCGAAACTCTTCCAACTTAAAAATCTCGCGGGGGGGAGAAGAGGACGACTTACACAAAATTCGTCTTACTCGACTGGATCGCATTAATAGCATTAGCCGACGCCTCATAAATAAAAAAAGAGGAGGAGGAAACCGGCACGTGATTCTAACATAAGGTTCTTTGGCCTTAACGCTTGGTCTTCTACACACCCGCAGCTCACTCTACATATCTAATGTTTTAAACTGCTATAATTTCTATAAATTCGTAAAATGAAAGGAAGGACTCGACCCAATCACGTGACTTTCGAGTGACGTGCAAGAGCGCCATCTGATAACGAAACATGCGAGAGACACACAATTGAGCAAGATTTGGTGATTTTTACAGAGAGAATTAAATTAGATAAGTTTTTTTCATAAAAGAAGCATTTGTGTAGCGACAGACAGAAGAGTTTAACAGTTTCATTCTAAGAACGTCTCTGTGACGTCATCATACGGCACTTCCTGTCTTCGCGGTTTTTTTTTTTCATAAGTACTGTACTTGTTTATATAACGCTTCCGCATAATAATATAAGACAAATATAAGACAGGCGGCAATTTATATTAAAGGTGAGTATAAAAACTGCTTGTAGGCAACAGGCCTAATTTTATTTATGTTAGTGTCTTGATACACAACAGAGGACGCCACTTTATACCATACATATATATTTGTTTATTTACTTTCTATATTATGAAATATTTTAAATATAGTAAAAAATTTGTATGAAATAAAAATAATATATATTTTTAAAATAATAGGGATATGAATGAATATTATAATGTTTACGTGGCGCCATCTATCGTTATTAAAATTGATAAATTTAAATGATTATCTCGCCAGTAATTTAACTTTTATTTCGAAGAATATATTTTTATTATATAAATCAAAGGCTGAAAAGCATTCGTATTAAATTTCTTTATATTTAAAATATTCCATTGGTAATATATTTAAAGGCTATAAATTTATTAATTAAGTTTGGATTCTAAGTCGACAGATGGAGCCACTGAATAAAAGAAAAATACATCCAATAGTGAATTAAAAATCCTCGATGACGTCACGGCGCCGAAATATTTTCGACCGCAAGGCGACGCCACTGGGAAATTATTCACCAGGTTACCGTGGCGACGCCGATAAATCTGAGGGGATTAACTGGCTTTTAAACCCCCCAGGATTAGTTTTAAAGCCGGGATAATAAATTATTTAAGCGTAGCGATGGGGTTTTTAATTAATTTTTAGAGGAGATCAAGGTTAAAAATTTCGGATATTAAAAGACTCACGTTAGTAGTCAGCTGGCAGGTCAGAGTGGCCACTTTATCGTTAGCGTGGTCCAGTTCCTTCCTCAGTTTCCGGATTTCGTGAGCTTGCTTCTCTTCCGCCTGGGAAATAGCAGGAATTTTTTTTAAATTTGATCTGCTTTCCCATAAATGACGTCGTCGCGTGACGTTTACGAATTGACGTTTTTCGTACGTCACGCCAAAATTCGTAAAAATCCTCGAATTTGGTGTTATGGTTTCTGAAGGTAACTTCGCTACAGTTTCCAAAGGCAACTTTGTTATACTTTCTAACGGTAATACTATAGTTCCTAAAGGCAACTTCTACTTCTATCTTATTAATTCTTATCTACTTTATACCTTTATGTAATAAATTATCATTAAAGTAGAAAGTGCAATGTATGACCTATACAAAATGGCGGCCATTATCATAAATGTAGGCCTAATCCTTATTGTACTTTAGTTTACTTCACTTTGTATTATTATTATTATTATATTAACAAGTGTAGATGTGTATTATTCAATACGGCAGAACGACATTATTTCGGTTAACTTCTCAGTTTAATTATTAATATTATTGTCAAATTTGTCAACTGTTAAATCCTACGGTTTTCCGTTCGTAGACTTTATTTTGTGTGTTAATTATAAAATAAATAAAGATAAAAATGTTATTTCCTGCTACGTAACGATCTGTTTATCTTGATAAAGGTGCTCATCTTCAATTCTTTTCTGATTACTATGGAAAAATTGTTTAAGGGTATGCTCGAAAAGATTCGAAGAATTTCTCCTTCTAGTCTTTAGTGGCAAACTCCTTAACATGTGTTTGTGTTATTCTATTGTCTACTTGTTAGAGTCCTTACTTCAGGTGCGTATGAGTGTCAATAATTACAAAACCTATTGTGATCTAATCATCTTTGTTTTCTTTCGGTTAATTAATATAATCTACACCATAAAAAATACTTAATTACTTGGTGAAATTTTCAGCCACGCTCGATTTTCATGCTAATTTCTTGCGTGATCCCACCAATAACAATGATTCGATCCGTTTTACTCTCTAGGTATTCTTTCTTTTCCTATCCTCCTTGATGAGGATAGAGAAAGAAGAATACCCAAGATGGCTTTAGAGTTAGAACTATGGGGAAATAGATCTAGGGGGAGTAGATAGAAGGATCAAATCAAGAAAGTGGGACGAGATTGAATGGGAAGAGTTATGGAAGAAAAGAAATAGATGTTAGATTCGACCCTCCAAAGAAGTGTTATTTACGTCTTGGTCTTACATCATTATTGCTACAATCTTCATTGTTAGCTGGTATGAAGATGAAGATGAAGAATTAACGATGTGTTCAATAAAATAATAGTGATTAGAAATGATACATTTAAATACGAGTGTGGCTGAGAAAGCGGGATGAAAACTTGAGCAAATAAAACTAGAATTTTAATCAAACCTCTATCAACACACGCAATTTGTAAGCATTTTATGTGTGAGTTAACACATAATTTTACAACGTAATTAAAGTATGAAACGTAAGATAAGAGATGGTCGATTCAAGATGGCAGCCGTTCGAGGAAGAAATCAATTTCGGCAAACATTTTTTTTTGTGTGTGTGTGTGTGTGTGTGTTTCATTTATTTTGTGGATAGAAATCATTAAGCAGTTTACTTTGGTGTCTTGCGTGGGTGTTTGTATGTTGGGGCGTGTATTGTGTGTGTTTTACCTACTTAAACACCTATAGTGTATGTTTTAACAATACAAACACTAAAAATACAGTAAGAAAACACTCAGAATTGTCTCTATTGCTCCAAACTTTCTATTGAGTTGTTACAGAAGCATGTAAATTTTTATAAATTACATTACTTTGTTAATTAAATAACCGTGTGTAAACACGTATGACTAGTAATTAATGACACACTAGCTTATGTATAGATACGTTATGAATATAGACATATAAGTTAAATATGTAAACAAATTAATCTTACAGAGGAGGAAGCAGATTATTGTTGCCTTTAGAAACCATTGCGTAGTGTAGCGTACAAAATACATACGTGCAGTGTTATACATGAAAGCAGCGTAAATATAGAAGCAATGTTTTGTTAAGAGTAGCGGATTTAATGTATGAAACACTGGAAATTCACTGAAAATTTATAGAAACAAGAAAAAAATTAAGCTTTAAAAAATGCAGATTTTTCTACTTGTACAGTACAGTACAAATGATAGCAATCCGTTTCTCAGATAATTGCATTGCTTATAACTTTTCTAGTAATCAATCATTTCCTCGAGATGATATTGCAGGAAACGTTACACGCGATGTACTGTTTGTTTGTAGAGTGATTTCGCTATTGAGAGGGAACAGTTTTTTTAATGAATAAATTTCGAATATCTTTTTTAGAAATTGTAATTTATATTGCGCTTAAAACAACGTTCCTTCGCTCTATAATTCGAAGCAAAATCTCACTTGAGTAAGCAATATTTTAAGGTATTAATACCGGCGATTTATACACGTTAAAACGGGTGTTAGATAGCATTTATTTTGTCCAACAACGTAATTTATCCTTCAGTCGCGACGTCGATTAAACTCGCGATATAGCGTAAGGTAAACTAATTATAGTGTACTATATCCGGGTATGTCAAATGTATTTGCTTTTCGTGTTTGGTAGCAAGAAAATCTTCGAAAATTTTGTAAATTTTAACAATAAACCAGTAAATAAATAAAATACATACCGAAGAGTAAATAGATGAAGTGGTGGAGACGAGTGAAAGGGCAGAACCATGAACTACAAGGAAAACAAAATGGGTATTGATCAATATCAATACTTCTGTTGTACACCGCCATTTTTTTTTTTTAATTTTTGTACTTACTCTCATCTTCCTTATTGCCCATTTTATTCAGTAGACCACCCATATAGTGTGAGAATGACCCACCGGAACTCCTGCCACTGGCGTGAGAAACGGACGAATTAGACGACGGAAGTGACGTATTCACAGGTGAGAGAGGATAGTAATACGACGATGACCCCTGTTGAATAGATAAGTATGTAATAAAAGCCTCAGTAACATTAAATTACAGTATAAACGCCCGTTAACGCATTGTTATTGCTTTTGAATATTGTTTAACTGGGGCGAAGTTGGTAAACTTGGGTGTAGGTGTAGTTTAGTACGTAGAGGAGGGAGGAAGATAAATTTCTGTACCTTTCTCCTAAAGATTTTTTGTGTGTAAATTAAACGTAAAGCATACGAATCTACTCTTGGTAATAGAAACAGAATAACGATTAAAGCACGAAACTTAAAGCTTTTATTACCAGACAATGATAACAAAGCCATAAAATGGTGTGCAGATATAATTAAAACAGATATTTGGTCCCTCTTTAAGCGCTTCTTTAATGCATTTTTCCAATCCCAAGTAGAGTAACTATGCAAAAGTATGCGGCACCGTCGACGTGACACCCAATCACGTGATTCATCCGAGCGTAGAAGTTTCTGGGGATTAAATAACAATGCCCCGAACCACGAACCTCATTCTGGAAGTATGTTTTTAAAGTTGGAGAGTGGTTCATTGCTGGAGACAACACCAAATGGCGTGATTAATGACCGAAAGAGGAGGGGTTTTAAGAAGTTAATACAGAGTTTTATATGGCTTAGGTAGAGGGGAGGAAAGAGGAAAAAAATGTAATAATAAAGGTGAGAGTAGTGAAGCAGGTATGGCAGAAAGCCAAATTGGTGTTAGGTCATCGACACGAGTTGGTTGTTTTAATAAGTTCTAAACTGAACAGCTGATAATACAGGAACTGCCCTTTTTTTTATCGATTGTGCACGTCACTATGATCAGCACCGAACGATCGTCTATCGTGTATTTTCTTTTTTCCTCTGCCTGTTTTTTTTTTTATTATTTATAATGTCTAATTGTATGCAGTTTATCACACGAAGAAAGTTTTAAAAAAATCACGTGTTTACACTTAATTGATGGTTCCAGCTGTGTTTTAATATAAGCTGATTTAATATGTTACGCTTATCTTCTGGTATACATGTTAATTTGCAAAACTAACGAGACTGTAAAGCTCATCGTAAAGTAATTTGTGTACGTATAGAGGTTGTAATGTGTTTATCTGTAGATTATCATCATCAATCATGTATGTAAAGTAGTCTGTCTAACAGTAAAAATCTTGCAGGAAATAAGGACTAACAAAGCTTGTATACGTGTAGAATCTATGTTTTAACGTATTTATCTATACGCAAACACGTTATCTGTTGTTATAATATAAAATTTCTCCGAAAAATTAAGTGTTTATCAGAAGTGTACCGCATCTGTCTGCTGTATAATCTATGTAATGGTAATATAACTTATCTATCAAACAGGAAAAGGGAGTCTAACTGCAGTATAACATGTTTATCTAAGCTCCTACTGTGTCGTAAAATGTATACTTACGGTGTAATACGTATATTGCGTAACTTCTCTAGATGTTATTTACATCATCCCTTTGATACACATTAAAAAGTAGGAAAGAATAAAGGTAAAAATGGCGAATAATGGATAATTTAATGTAGTGTATCAATAGAGAGATGTGGTATACACCTACCTGACCGTGCATTCCAACAGGAGCAGAAGAAATTGAATCCAAACTTTCCGTTTCCGGAAGACTGTTATAGTTCCTCTGACTAGGAGCCGACACGGAGGTACCGGGGCTGTGACGTATCCAGGCATAGGAATGAGAACCGGTCGATGTCAACGGTTCAATGTTGACATAATTATCATTGTCCAACGTGGTCTTGTAAATGCGGGGATTTCTGTCGCGTGAAAGGATAACATAATCCGAATTTTGAGGAGACTGATTGATAGAGAGACGATCTCTTAAACTGAGAGTGGGGGAGGTCATGGAGAATGGCTTGTGCTTCTTGTCTAAAGTACAATACTCGCTATCTGAGTGTGCTCCAATCCCGTGCAACTCTTGGGTAGTCTGAGTGTTAGCGCATACTTTAACTTTACCTTTTCTTTCTAGTGTTTTCGAGGGTGAGCCGTTACCCATCCTGGGGATGGAACTCAAAACGGGGCGGATGAAATCCACGCTATCGTAGTGCGGTTCTTCTTTCTTGGAAAGCTTACTACTCTTAATGCTGCCGTTGGAGCTCATGCTGCATGCGCTCGTGGGTCGTTTAGTCAAATTAGAGGAGATCACGCTAGGTCTTAGACCTTGCACCTTCTTCTCAGTTCTGAAACTCTGCGGAAGAGACTCGCAACTGCCTCTTACAATTCTAGGGCTTCCACCGTCGCTCAGGTTATCACCCTCGCTGAAGTATCCCAATTCGGATGACTTGACGCTCAGAACTTTGTGTTTCTTGTCCACTTCCGCGGGTACTTTACGACCGGATGTGCTCCCCATACAGCTTTTATTTCTGTTAATGTCACCATCTTTTCCTCTTTCGTAACGCAATTCGGGACTTCTAGATTCACGCGGGGTGTGCCGCTCGTGCTGCTGCAAGTACTTCTTCCAAGAGGAGGAGGACATGTGATGAAAGGCGCTGGACTCCGTCTGCATGGAGCTGTCCGTTTTCTTAACATTTCCGCTCCTGCTCAGCTTGCTGGATCCCCTTTGAGTGTCTGCGCGGCTGGTTTGAGACTTCTTGGAGCCTTCTTTGATGGGAGTGATGGAGGATGCCTTTTCTTCTTCTCGATTCGGCCTTTTCAAGCTTCCATACGGATTATTATCCGAACTGACGGAAGAACCAGTCAGATTGTCGTCTGTGCTGAGTTCTGCAATTGTATCGCTGATGCCACTGCTGAGAGAACTGCTGTCGTCGAAGCTGAAACAGAAAAAAAGGCAGCAAAATACAGCATTAAAAAGAATAGAAAACAGCGCGCGATCAATGCCACTGTCTATTGCGAAATTATTAATTTGTATGAGTTTCCAAACCCAAGCATATCAGAATGAAGAATTTATTGTTAAAAATAGCAAACAAGACAAGAAACAGCGTACAGAATGCGTTTACTAATTATTTATTACAGCTTTATTAATAAACATTAACAGCCTCTTCTCTCTAATTGCCTGAACAACATCAAAAATAGCGCAATGCTGTTGTAGGAATAAAAATTCTGTTGGAGTGGGAGCGTATACACACTTCAAAAGCACGTTAATAAGAAAACGAGATCATTTTATTGCTGTTAAATTAGACATCTTTACGACTGAATCCACTTCCAGTCCTTCAAACCAACTGGAAGCGATTGAAGTGGATCCGTTTTGATAAAACCAGGGCACTTATAGGAGCTTACTACATATGGTTAGCGTAGCTGCACGGGGAAGGTGACTATAAAACACACTTCTAACAGTTTATCTTTCATTTTAGTATGTTTACCCTGTGAGAGTCAGGCCCCCTCGTAATTAACTTATGCCTCTCTTCCGATCAACAAACCGAGTGGGTCAAAAACCGCATTGCCTAATCGATTTACCATGTAGCCGGTACATCACCCCTTTGTACACGCTGAGTCACTTTTATCTTCAATCAGGTAAGCTACTCTATGGAAAAATTCTATTAGTCATCGTTCATACAGGTGACAGTCGATATGTGTGTGTGTGTGTGTGTGCCTGTGTGTAGTGGGTGGAGGTGAGTCAACTGTCTATTAATAATCGCCAGTACGCACGACCGGTCACGTGACTGGAGTGCGCTATGAGCGAACGTGACATGTAAACAATCCAGAGGATGGCGGATCCTCACGTCGACCAACAATGCCTGCCTATAATCTGCGGATTATCATTGTCTAGCAAAGTGTAACCGAACAAATACTCATAGAAAAAGAAACAATACTGTAGGATCGATGCTGATAAATTCTCGGGCATTATCTTAGGATACTGTGAAGTATAATTATCTAGAAATTTCAGCTTTAACCGCGCCTATCGATTAACTATAACATATACCGGAGTGAATTGTCTATAAATAAATAATTTCTAGATAAATCTTAGCTTACAGGAGCTTCTACGTAGTATATAAGATTATCACGCGTAGGTAAGAGTATTAGATGGTTTGTATTGACATAATACAAGTAAGATCCGATTATCCGTGTTTAGCCGACTATTTTGAATGAGCTAGGACACATCTTAAGTACTAATTAAGTAACTTATTTTCGTTAGGATAACGATAAAAACGTTGTTCTTACCATCCCAAGCGAACGAGATAGCTGCAAACGTTGCCAGATAGTGCATTATCTTAAGAGAAGCTTAGCTGAAGTGGCTGATAAATCCTTTACTCGCTTCATCTAGTGTAGCTTTTAGCCATTTATGTGGTTAAATATTTACTCACTACCAATTAATTCGCTTTTCTTGTAGCATTAACCCCCGGTAACGCCGTCTGTAGATAATAAAGTCGAACCGTCCTGTCATAGGAGCGATAAACAATGCACAAATCTATGAATAGCCGAATGTAAGGAATTGACGTCACGGCCGCACTTCTTCCCATCCGGTAGCCATGGCAACCCATGCCAGGGATCCTTGACAAGTAAGCAAAGACCAAAACCGATCAAACTGTCCCTTGCCTTGTATATGGGTTACACTCGGTTAATCCGTTGTAGTAAATTCGTAGATTAAGCACCCTAAACCCGAGAGGAGGGTTGGTGGACGTATCCGGGCGCAGTGCGGATGGGGATGAACGTTTATGTACGTCGTATGGGTCGCGATGGCGCGTAACTCACCTGCTGTGGCATCCGTACCAGTCGTAGTAGTACCTATCGTGATACATCCTCTAAAAAACGTGCGGCATAGAGGTGTTTCTACGTCTCTACCAGGTAAGGACGAACGGCACAGACTGTGCACTTACTGACGACATGTTAGCCAGGAATCGATGCCAGTTGCAGAATGGATTCAACCAAACGCGGCAGAAGGGGGTAATGGAAGTGAAGTCGGATGACGACTGACCAATGGCTGCCCGTGACGTCACCCGGCCAGCGAAACTTTGCCAGAAACATCCCAACCCCGTCTGAACTTTGACCCCCCGAGTGCAGCTTCCCGGTTGTAATAGATAACTAGAGGTGAAGTGACATTTACAGAAAGGGGATGGAAACACGTCACCCATGCAGTTTTAAGGTTGTTGAACTCCGCTCTTAAGCAGAAACAAGAAGAGAAAAGATACACCCCGCATAGAGCATGCAGCAATTGGTTAGATGTTAGTGCGGCTCCAGTAACAATTTAAGGACTTACCCCGGGCGAGCAGCTTCCGTTTCTGCGTTTTTATTCCTGGCGGAAGAAAAAGGAAGCTTAAATGACAATCCTGCAACACATACCATAATTCTATATAGGTGTGGTGTACGGTGGATACTGTACTGTATACGGGCGTATAAAACGCCATTAACTCGACTTTAAAGCGCACGTGGCACCTATACGGTAACCATTTCTTTATCTGTTGCGGTAATAAACTATTAACGGCCCGTAAACAACTACATATTTTTTTAAAAAAATTAGTATATAGTAAGAAAACTGTTTAGGTGGAGGAATGCAATCGATGCAATACATCAGCAGCAGCAGTAGCAGCAGCAGCTAAAGAATGATGTTCCATCAAGTTAATGGTAGAAAGAAAGATGGAAAGAGCTCGTCGATCGCTATAGCTCTCGTTCTGTTTCTCTTTCCATCCTTGTTCATAAAAAAAACTTAACGTTACGTATGTGAAGATGTGTTAAAGTCTCAAGTTGCAATTATACATAATATATACAGATGTATGAGTTATGTATTTGCATGATTATAAAGTACTTTGCAAGTGTATTTTTTTGGTAAGACATTGTTCTGTATGTAAATTACGCACTATCGTCTTGTACAGAGAATGAGATGATAGATGAGAGAATCTTTAAGACATTACACATGTGGTTTTCATAGTGATATTAGGCAAAAAAATTACATCTTTATACAGTAAAATTTGATGTGCCATCCTTTGTTAGGCATGTATAACGTAATGTCTCAATGTACTCACTGTTTTACATATTGCGCATTATACATCATTAATAACATACTTCAAAAGTTAAATATTGAGGATGCTCTTCTGAACGAATTAATTCTTGAATCTTGAATTTTATGAATAAATCTGGTAAGATGATGCCTATCGATGGCACTCCTCTCTCTCTCTCAGCAACCTAAATAGGATCACGTGACAGCAGCGAATCGACCAAAATTGGAAATTAGGGAAGCGATAAAGCGAGTAGAATCAAAGTCGGTCATCATGGCGCCCGATGTAGTAATTGATTGCAGCTACGTCACCAAATCACACACCGCTAATCGTTGCCGATACTCTAAAAATCCCTTATGACAAATGGTCAGACGGAGAGTGGCGCCATTTAAAAAAGTGGTAGCTCGAAAGAAAAAATTTGGCAGAGACGGTTGCACGCGTGAAAGAACCCTAGAAAAATGAGTGAAGAGCATCTATCATCAGTCGAGTTTCTTTTACTTTTTGTTTAGTGAAGCGTGGAAACAACTCTCCTACATAACACACACAGAGAAAAAAGAAAACTAACGTTGTGTTAGCGACAACCCTCTCCTATTATAGCAATTTAATCCTCGATTGCCGAAAGGAAAGTGCTAATGTAAGTGATGTTTCTGTATAAAACAGCAGTTAAGTGTACTGTGCGTTTCTTCGGATACTTACGATGGTTATCGATGGTCTTAATGTACAAACAGAAAGGGAACCGTAGCGTGACTCACGAAAACTATTATTAATGAACGTCGTGGCAGGTGATCAATCGCCGCAATTAATAGCTCGGGCCGTAAAATGCAATTTGAGTTGCGCTGCAATGATCATAAGTAGCCGATTACTCAAAGATAAACAGGAGCCTGTCAGACTGTCTATACGTCGATTGGCTTATAACTCGACAAGTTCATGCCGCAACGTTTTATAGTGACGTGAACTGTCACGAATTTAATGGGCAACATGCGGGGATCGACATGCCGCATCAATTTTTATAAAGGTAAACAGAGCGAATACAGTGTTACTGCATTAGACATCCGCATAAACTTATCACTGGTGTGTTTTTTCTAAGTGACAAAGTCGATCGGGTGAAAGTTGCTGTTCTGTTCCTTCGGGCGGAACTAAACTGATTTATATCTCTTGAATTTTTAATATTTCCGCCTGTTCCAGAAAGTTATCCAAGTATAAGAACCTAGTTTCGAGTTTATAATTAATGCAGCGGTGTATGTATTGTGTAGTATTCGAACTGTGTAATTTCTACTGTTCGACGCATGATTATGTTTATAAATTATGGGAGTATAATGTTTTATATTCATCGGGTGCATAAAAAAACAGTCGAGCGATATTCATTATGCAAATCAAAACGCACTCACCTATCGTCCTGAAGCACATTAATGGTCTTGACCACGTTTTCCTTGCTGCTCCTTCCTCCGCTCTTCCTAGCATACAGAGAAGCCCCACCTTCGCTCATATAACCACTAGCTATATCGTCGGGTCTCCACCCGTTTCCGGTCCTTAACATGTCACCGTCACTCATATAACCGGCAGAGATATCGAGCAATTCTATATCTGTGACGTAATCCTGCTCCAGTTTCTCTATAGGTGTCCTCTTAACTGGAACACCGTAGATCCTAGAAGAATCCTGCGCGATCAGCCTATTCACTGCCAGCCTCGTACAAGGGCTGACGTCAGTCTGAACTCGACCCGCCGGTGTCATCTTCCTGGCGCTCCACCCTAACCTGGTGTAGCCGTAGGGCGAGGCCCTAGTCAAGGGCTGCATGGGTTTTATGTTAACCATTATATCTTCGGCTTCGTCGGCTAAACTATCGGATTCTTTTACTTCCTCCTCCTTGCTCTCCTCTTTCTCCTTTTCTGCGGATGATTGGTTATCCGCAATCTCCGTCTTGCTGCACACTATAGGAGAAACCATAGCTATCGCCTGTGTAACTTCCGTCTGTTTGTCTTTACTCCGGTCAGGTTTGGGTAGGGAAGAGGACTGGTATTGATTCGAGTGTTCCACCCGTGTGCTGACGTAATTGTCGTCACGTGATCCCTTCCCGTAACCCGCATCCTGGTTCCTAACCACTTTTGTTTTTGTTGTGCCCTTGACCGCCGCTGTAGGTTTGGGAATACCGGTATTGTTAACCAAACTTTCTTCCTGGGAGCCACTTCTAGACGACTTCTCACTACTTTTCGTTGCTAGTGTGGATATTTTCGATTGCCTCACGGGGTTGTCCGGTTGGATAGTAGTGTAGTTCTCATCTTCAGCATCTTTTGCCTTCCTCTCCTTCCCCTCGCCGCTTCTGATCTTGTTCTGCTTAGTAGTGGGTCTGGTAGAGAACTTACCATCCTTACCTGCGTATAAATCACAATAAGTACTCTCGACCAATCCGAATTGCGACATACACATTTACTCTACTCACCCGTGTACTTCTGTGGAGCTTCTTTGATGTTGGACGCCGTTTTGTTGGGTACTTTCTTTCCTAAACTTCGAACAGACTTGTCCTGGTGTGTGGAGATGGCAGGAAAGACTGGATTTTCTGGTGTGTCCGGTGTTGAGGTTAGTTTTGATTCGCTGCATAGGCTTGTAGAAGAATCACTTTTTTCGCTCCTAGCCGAACTAAACCCGCTGCTGCTACTGGTACGCTTGGAGACCACACCTTTGACGTAGCAAAAAACAATAAATTTAAATATTCATAAACTCCTCGAAACTTAATTCTAGATTTTAAAACAAATAGAAGTTTTTAAAAAATAACGAAAGAATTTCGGTATGTTTAAACGTTAAAACTCTAGAACATTAGTTAATATGTAATCGCTCTCTCCTCACTAGTGACGTCATTTTATTCTACCCCGTTGTGTTTTATAGCTTCAAGAACTCAGGTAATTTCTTTCCGTCTATTCAGACAATTTACTGTAAAAACTGAGATTAGAGTTGTGAAATTAGAGCTCTTTCTGATACGGTAGAGTAGTTTTGTAATACGAGATTCGTGGCAAACTGCCTAAAATTTTTGCAGTAAATCCGTTAATTAGGTTATTAAAATGCTAGAAAATTCGATGAAATTACCTTTTCCACCCTCGTTCGGTCTCTCCTTCGAATTAAATAATTTGAACTTGTCCAACATGGAATGATTAGCGTTTTTCCCGACAGTAACTGTTTGATTCCTGGTTACACCGGCAGATGGCGCCTTGACTGGAAGATGAGAAAGAGAGGACGAGGACGACGTCGAAGATGGCCTGCCAAAAAAGATAATTATCATTCGATAAGACTTGTTGTTAAGACTAAATTACACGATATCGCGTGTGGTCAGGGCCGTCGAGATGGGGTAGCTGGAGATTTTTTCCGTGCTCGTGTAGTTCCTACGTCTGTAAAACTAATGTTATTTCTACTAACAGAAAGTAAAACCGTTAACACCGGTTTTTATTAATAAAGAAACATTCTACGTATTTCATTTGTTCAAAAATAAATGGCTAAAGGGGCCATTCTACCCGCGGGCCCCATACAAGTTCTCGACGGCCCTGCATGTGGCATTCTCAGAGAGTAGTTGAACTCTTCTACTTGCTTACCCCCTTTTAATATTGTTGTATATCCATCTTTATATACGTGTATTCTTATTATACTGATTATATTGTCATTCTTATTATATACAATCACCCCAATGATGAAAAAAATGAATCTTAACCATACCTGGATTGTGATTTTTCTATATTGGTCCGATCACGTGTCAAAACGGCCGATTTCGGCTGAGGTATAAAAGTGGATCCATGAGGTGAACCAGACCTCGAACTGTTGGTGGAAGGCGTTTTCGATGTCAAACCGGTTGAACCTTCAAAATTAAAAGAAAAAATACATAAAATATTTACTATTAAAATAACAACATAGTGAACATATCATTAACACAGTCGTTAAAAAGGCGCGCACGACCCACTTTTCCCCATCTGGTCCCATCAATTAATTTAATCTACATTCCCCGTTTTGTCACATGACTAACCGGCAGACATAGGGGAAACTCGTAAAAGAGCAACAGCCAGTTAATGCGGCATAAACCACTTGTACGAAGGTCAGTAGCGTATAATTAACATAAAGAAAACAACAGTGATAAAGCGGGTAACGATCAGACAGACGTACAGCCTTCGCTGGTAACCTTGTCCCAAGGATAGTGGTAAAAAACTCCCCCAACTTACCTGAGATTACTACGGTCTCACTCATATTTAGGTATGTACTGTACAGAGTATAGTACGTTGGTGGGTGTTAACGCCCCGAGGCAAACTCGCGTGTTAGGAAGCATCGTACAGTAATGTCAACAAAGTTTCCTAAGCGTACAGGTACCTTTTTAGACCAGTTATCTAACTAGTCGGGTCATTTTCCGTGACGTAACCGGCCGAAACAGTTAGGAACACAATGGGTAATGGGTGGAAATTCGTGGAATTTCGACACAGGATGTCGGTTGTTCGCACGCGGGTTAACACACTGACATCTTTATGATTATTGGTATATATTTCTGTAACTGGATAGCTTTGTAAAGCGACATGTTTCTTGGCACGAGGGAAAAAGGTGGTTAAGTCGTGAGTTATGGAAGAAAGAATTCTTATTCTTCTCATTCTGTTCCCTTGCTAACCGTTTCGCATCCTTGATAATGTTGTTTTGGGTGTAAGACATTATACATCGATTTGGAAACTAATTATACTTTTAGTAACGAGTTACAATCTTGTTTTCCTTATGAGCAATTTAAAACGCTGCTTTCCTTCTTTAGAGGAAGCTATTATGTTAAAGTTTCTATCGATTTTCCTATAATTTCCACTTTGTTCTCAGATTTCTGTAATTTTAATGGACTTTTTTATTGTCCAGACAAGTTTTCTTCTTTTTTTTGTGCGTGTGTGTTAAGTTCGTGTTTTAATCAAAACAAATTGAGTTAAATAGAAACAGTACACGTTTTGAATGCAGTTTAATAGAGAAGCCTTTTTAATTTAAAGAACAACAACGCAAAAACTGGAGATAAGAATTTTCAAAATACAGATTTTTCTTTAAAGAAAAAAATTCCCTAATTTGATGCATCGGAGAAAAATCCCAGTTAATTGCAATTTCGGGGATTTTTCTTTTAAAATTCCCTCGTTTGTCGTCTTAGAAGAAAAATCCCTATCTCATTTTAAATTTTATGAATTTTTCTTTAAAATTATTCTTTATTAATTTCGTATTCAAAGAAAATTTTCTATCTTAAATTAAGGATACTACTTTAAAAAAATCACTAATTGGTGCATCTGAGAAAAATCCCTGGGTTAATTTGATTTCAGGGATTTTCTTTAAAAATCCCTAATTTGATATATTCCATGAAAAATCCCTAACTTTCTTTAAATTTCACAAATTTTCTTTTAAAGATCCTTCATTATGTCCGTATTCAAAAAATTTCTTCCTTAACTTCTATTTTAAGGATATTTCAGTTAAAAAATCCCTAATTTCACACATAATATAAATTTCAGAGTTTTTTCCCTAAATGTATGATATTTTATGGCATTTTTTTTAAAATTGGAATCATTATCTATCGCTCAAATGGCTCGCTGACATCTGTTTAAATTTTAATTTAACGATAATGAGTTTAGAAAATTCAAATCTGAGAGTTTGGATAACAGAAAAAAAAATCGAATTACATACAACAACTCAAAAATCTCTTCAATTTAACTTTAATTTTTGGATGATTTTTACATTGAGACTTACAGAAAAATTCGTGAAAAATATCAGAAAATTATCATTATTTATTCTTTAAAAAATTCTACATAAAAACATATTTTAAACAAAAATTAGAACCGAAAAAATATATTTAAGTAGTAGTAAAAAAAATTCAATTTTTTAAACGCAATTTTATCGCATTTCGAGATGCAAATTCGAATTTAATATTTTTTTAAAATCCATCAACAATCAATGCAGCTTTCTTTTTGTGTTGAAAAATAAAAATTCCAATAATAAAACGTTTACTTTTATCCCCGTCAGATGGCAGAACAATTCTCTCACCTTTTATCGTTTTTATCGATCAGTTTTCTCAAGAAGAAAACAATAGAGGAAGAAGAATAAGAAAGAAAGAAAGAAGAAAAAAAATACCCTGAAAAATCTACAACACAAAATTGATCGCTACGGACAACAATTCAACTCGCACCATTACCAATTTTTAATTAATTAAACGTACAAAAACCGTATATTCTAAAGCATCCATCACTATGGCATCCATTAATTCTTTAGAGAAATTCGTAAATACGTAGAAAATTATACGTCCTCTCGCTCAATCTCTCTTCCTGCAATTTTTTACAATTTTTTCTTGCTGATAGGAAATTAAAATAACTACAATTATAAGCAAGTTTGGAAGATTATTATTTGGTTTTTTTTTAAGATGGTACTAGTTAAATATGAATGTATTACATGTCGTTACTCACTGTTCATCGTTATTCTATCTGGAAAAAAAATTTATATATAAATTTCTTCTGTGAAAAGGGTTTCTTTTTATTTCCCAGTTCAAAGATCATTCGTTTCCTGTTTGATAAACTAAAACCGCAAACCGTTTCTAGGACCTTATATGAGCACAAAGCACAGAAAGATGTCGACAATATGTATCTTGTATCCCCCTTCTCGAGTTATCAGTAGTTTAAACTGACTGATTCTGCTGGGTTGAAACATCATTTGTACGGATATTTCCCCTTTCCAATAGCCCTTCTTTCTGTCTTTTTTTATGATATAAATGTAAATATATATGAAATCATTGAGATACCAGTTCATATTTTAAAAATGTATTTCTTATGTTTTCAATACATAATTAATACTGTCTTTTGTTGAAATTATAGAACTATGTATATTATTTAATAAATTTCTTAAAATATTTCCCTAACGACGATTGTTTCCTTTGCTGTATAATTTAAACCCTATTTTGTATCTTGTTACTTGTAAAATAGGGAATTTTTAGTTAAAATTTCTCTACCATGTATTAATTTTCAAAATATTTCTATACTTAGGATGCATTTAACGATAGTTCCCAGTCTAACAGAGATATATCGTTTAATTAATACATCCTACATGTAGAAATATTTCGAAAATTGATACAAGAAAATATCAATTAGCTTTAGGGATATTTTCTTGCTTAAATTTCCTCAACTCTCATAAATTTATCAGGGAATAATCTCTAATATTTAAGGGATATTCGGAAATTTTATGAAAATATAAATTAGAAAATATCTTTAATAACTTGATGAATCTATTTTTACATTTTTCATGTAATAATTTCCTAAATTTAGGAATATTCTAAAAACGTTTGAAGACATACAATAGGTAAGAAAGTATTATTTACTTTCTTACCTATTGTATCTGTACGAGTCATCTGTACGAGTCTGTACGAGTAATACTGTAAATCTGTACGAGTCTGTACGAGTAAATCTATACGAGTAATAAACTACTACATACAATTTTAAACGTTTCCACAATACCCCTAAATTTCAGAGAATATCCCTTGAAAAATTTTTAAAATATCCTAAATTAACCAGGGATATTTTCTTACTTATATTTTCTGAATTTCTTAATAATTAAATACAGTATTTGAATAATAACATATTTTTTCATAAAACATTCCAAAAATACAATAAATTTTTAACAGCTAAACATATACAGGATGTTTAAAATTCTCTAAATTTCCCTAAATTTCAGGGAAAGTTTCCCGAAATCTTTTAAAAAATTCCCTTGATATGTTTAGCTATTAAAAATTTCGTATTTTTAGTGTTATAATTCGGATTTCTAATTAATTTATATTAATTATACCAACGAATTTCTGAATATTCCTTCTAAAAGGCATAAAATATTTTAAAAATTAATTAATTAATACACTTACTAAAATCGTTCATTCAGTCTTCTTTTTTGTCGGGAAATCGTGTGATTTATACTCTAATTTTTATTTAATATAAAGAGATTTTTATCAGATTAATTCGGAAGATGTTTAAAGAAGGAAACCAACTCCGTGACTCACTCCAACGTCGTCTGACTCGGTCACGTGCATCTACACAATTATCGTCTGCTTTCTCTTAATTAATATTAAGAATTTTAACTATTTCCTCCAGGATATAAGCCACTGACTATTTTTACCACGATTTATATTCAACTTGGCGTATTTTTAATGAAAAACTACCGAATTTTAAGCCAAATTAAAAATCATGACGTCCGATCACGTGATGCGAGCCAATACCGATTACAGTCTGTTCGCGTTATTTTTAAACTACCGTTTGTCAATGTATTTCGGTTATATTAATGCTAATAATACAAATAGGCATATAATTATAAGTTAAAATTTCTGTATAGTACGAAAAGAATGGCGTGTCACGTGACTAAGTAACAAAGCCTTTCGTAATTATTATAAGGAAACTTTTAAAATGCTTAATAAGCAATAATTCCCTCGTTAATATCAATATTGAGCATTTTTAAAGTTAAATTATTAAATTTTAAATCAAATTTTAAAACCGTGACGTCAGATTACGTAACGAGAGCCAGTAACGATTACAGTCCGTTCGGGTTATTTTTAAACTAATTTCCACCGCAAATTTCAATAATATTAATATTAATATGATAATTAAGAGTGTTATTAAAGTTAAAATTACTGATAATTTTTTAAACAATAGCGTGTCATTTTGAATCTAGAAATAAACTCAAGTTTTAATTAATATGAAACATTTTAACAATTTCCTTTCATATAAAAGCATCAGGCTGTTTTTTCGCTCAAATGTCTATCAATTTTATGCATTACTAATGTAAAAAAAAAATTTACATCAAATTTAAATTTTGACGTAAAATCACATGACTACTATGCTACGTCACATGAATAATATAATCTATTCGTGTTATTTTTTGTATTACTTCTACTAATTTTATCGAAATTAATATTAGTAATACAATTAAAGTACTAATTAAAGCTAAAATTACTTTAAATTCTTAAGTCAGTAAAATTCTACTTAAATCTACGAATAAATTCCGTCCGTCTTCTTTCTAATTAATTTAAATTGATATAAATGTCGCTTTCTTTCCTTGTTTAAATATTGCCAGACTCGTTAGTAGTATTATTAAAGTAAATTAAATCGAATCCTAAACAGATAGTCCATGATCACGTGACTTTGGGTAAACAAACTCGCTCGCGACTCTGCTAAATACGATGGTTGCCTTCTAAAATTATTTTCTGCTTTAGACATGTTTGGTTTTGTTATATGTATATATATTTCCCACTACGAACGTTCTGAACATCATATGTGATGTATTTCCTGGTAAACATTGCTTTACGATGCAGTTTATAATTTGACAAACATTTTTTCCTTTGTGAAATGTCCTTAAATTGCATTCCCTTCAAAGCTACAAGACTAAACGTGTAACAAAATGCATCCTCTTTTAATTAAAATTACAACAGTTTAAAACAATTACAGCAAAATAAAAAAAACTTGAATAAATTTAAAATTTAAATTTTAAAAATCCTGACATTATAACGGACGTCAACACTTTTTAAATTTGAATTTATATTATAATTAAACGAGTCTTTTAATTAAAATCAAAAACATCTTAAAACAATTTACTAAACGATAATTATTTCATACGTTTAAAATTCAAATTTCAAATATTCTAACGTCACAACAGACGTCACGATTTTTTTTTTTAAATTTTTTTTTTAAATTGTAAAAAAATGACATTTTTATATAATTTTAATTAAAATTATAAAATTTTGAGTAATTTTAAGATGCTAATAATA